AATTTTAGATAAGTTTCGTTAATACCCTTATGAGCATTAGTTGGTGATTCGTGGTAATTTTTTATTGTTTTATATTTAAGGTGTTTCTCAATTATATCCGGGAACTTTTTTATAAGATAAATTTTCCTATTTTGTAAATCATTTGTAACTAATAACTCGTTTAATTTGTTAATACAAAAATCATCTTCCATTACAAACAATAAATTTTCTGAGGGAAACAAAGGTAGAATGTTTAAAATATTTTCCCTAAGTTCCGCATCATTAGCGCTAACCTCAAAAATATACTGATAAGTTCCTGAACGGGAAAACGTAATTTCTATAGAATTTTCTATCTTGTCTACATTAGTCTCTAATAATATTGTATTTATCTTCGTTTCATTATTTCGAATATGAAAGATAATCACTTCCGTATCAGGTGGAATCTCATTAACTATTTCTATTTTGTTATTTGTATTTACTAAATTATCATTCAGTACCTGATTTACAGTGTCATTGTTATCGAACGCTACAGAAACATATTCACCTAACTCTGCTATTAGTTGTTCTTCCGTACTAGGGCTCATCATTTGCTCAAGACTATTGTCATTTATATTTTCGCTTAATTGTTTTTTACCTTCAGTGACATAAATTCGAGAAAGCGCATCGGCGTTTGTGTTGGTTTTATCTGGCTTATATAATACCTCGTATTCATACTCTTCGAGTTTAAGACGCCAACGCACTAGTCGCGAACTATCATCTTTTACGGAAAAAAGTCATTTTAGTGGTTGATGGTCCGTAATTACAGTAAAATTTTTCCCGTATAAATATGGACGAAAGTGTTTAACCGCCCAAACAATGGCAAGCAATTCACGTTCGATTGTACTATACCGGGTTTCTGCTGGATTCAGAGTCCTCGAAGCATAAGCTATAGGTAAATCCTTTTTTAATGGTCCCTGGGAAAGTATAGCACCTATCGCAAATTTAGAGGCGTCTGTAGTTAAAATGAAAGACTCATTGAAATTTGGGTATTGTAAGATTGGTGGTGTTGAAAGACAATCTTTTAATTTTTTAAATGAATCTTGACAGTCGTTATTCCAATTAAAAGGTTCATTCTTTTTTAATAATAACGTCAAAGGTTTTGCGTGTTTCGCATAATTGGGAATAAATTTTCTGTAATACCCACTAAGGCCAAGAAAGGATTTAATTTGTTTAGGATTTTTCGGTACAGGGAAATTTTGTATAGCTTTTATTTTTTCAGGGTTAGGTTTTATCCCCTCCGATGAAACCACATGACCGAAAAAGTTAGTTTCCTTTCTTAAAAATTCCGACTTATC